GAGTACGCTATGCTGGTAAATTGTGGTTTCTTCGGCGTATTGCAGGCAGTTACCACTCATGTAAGCAGCCCTCGAGATCGTTGACATACAGGTTAAACAACACCGGTCCCATGATAGAACCCTGGGGGACTCCAAATCCGACATCAGCCATGTTGGATTGTTTGTCACTAACCTCAACAAACTGCTTTCGCGAGGAGAGGTAGCTAAAGTTCCACTGCAATGCTTTGTTAGAGAGCCCGGTGCGATGCAACTTGCGTATTACAACCGAATAATCAACTTGAGTTCCTCTTTTTTATTTTTGTAGCCAGTTTGGTTCCGACAAAAGAGAATTGCTTCAATAGAATCCGAGCTATGGCGCTTTTTTCAGTGTGCAAAACGCCATCTACCTCAATTTTCAAGATAGGATTTAAACCAAGGAATAGATAACACATCCACGCCAAGGGATTGCAGCTTTAAGAGTACCTAAGTTTGTTCTGTCACTTTTAGCTCAAGTAACAAACTCCCTACAAGCCAAGAGCTGTAACCTTGGCGTTGCATATCAAAGCGTAACTCTTGCCAAAGAATACATCAAATCAGCGAGAGGAAAGGAATCCTGGCAGAAAGTGTGGAGTCGAATCAGTCGGGTAGCTGACTCTATCAACGTCATCCTGCTAAAGCCTGTACAAAGACTGTTCAACGCCATCGAGCAAACACCGCACACAACTATCAGCCATCAGACCACTACGGGATAAATGTGCTCTATCCATTTATAGATCATGTTGTCGGTGAACTTAAAACGAGAATTTTTCAATCCAGCGCGAAGGCCTGATTATCGCTCAAAACCCGTTCCCTTTGTACTTGCCTAAGTTAACTGACCGGCCTATCGAGATCAAGAACTTCTTCAACAAACATCTAGATCGATTTCTCAGAGAAGTTTAATTTTGACGCAGAGCTGGCAAGGTAGAGGATGAAACACGCGATGGAGACAGAGTCAGAACAAGAGGGAGCAATGCCTGATTGCAGTCAGCAAGAATTTCCCGCCATTCACAAGGCGCTATCGATCTTTCTAACCAAGCCTGTGGGAAGCGTCAGTTGCGAACGCTCCTTCTCAGCCCAACGCCGTCTGAAGCTATGGACTCGGCCATCAATGACAGAAGATCGATTAAGTGGCCTTGCTATGTTGTTGATTCATCGCGGAACGGACTTCATTCCTACTTCAACAGATATCTATGACATGAAGTCAAATTGGAGAAGAATCTTGAATAGCCTAATTAGACTCGTTTTTAAGACCTGGTATTCTAATACCAAAACCTGCAATTTTAGCTCAGTTCCTCCAAGTCAATCTCTGTTCAAACTATCGAAGGCTTTCAACGCATTTTTGAAACCATCCATACAAGGTGTTAAACTGCAGTTCACAGTATAGCTTGAATTAAAGATGGTGCATAAATCATCATTGTGTGGCAGAGACCTCGGGGGCATTATCACAATTTAAAACAAAAAGCATGAGTGTGGTTTCTTTCCTTAAAGGTCTTAGAGGCAACCTTCTGTGTAGGGGTGAAAACAAAACGTCCAACTAGAAGCCCTGTCTATATACGGGAGGCCCCTGTGAAGGTGTGTAGAGTTTGCTCCCGCAGACAAAAAATCCTCTGTACTGCCCTGGAGGTAAGTTTCTAAACCTTGACAGTGAACATATCAGAGTCTCGTTGTATCCTAGTCTCATCAATGAGGGGAAATAAACTTCTGTCAGAACGATCTTACGACACCAAGAGTAATGGGCTCCAGACCTTATTCGTTTGCAAGGAGTAAAAAAAGAGCTTTAGTGTCTTGCTCATATCCCAGAAAGAGTTTGGGTTATTTCAGATGTGATTGACCAAATGAAAGAAAATTCGCACACATCCAAAATTTTAACTTTCGGAACTGCTGTTATTTGATTAAAGCAGGTTGAGTTTATTATCAATGACTTGAGAAGCTTGATATTGTTGAAGAACATCAGATGTATAAGGAGACTTAAGGGAGGGGAAGGGTCCCTAACCTCAGTGCCATATTTACACATTTATTTCATTTTTGATCTCTCAAAAAGGGTATGGTTTTCAATAATTGCCGGTTAAGCAGTGCAAAAATAAACTTGAGAATACATTCTCTTACTCTCCTGGTCCGTTTATTCGTATAAATTAACTTCATCGAAATAGATACTGTTTAAGGTATACTATGCAAGAAATAAAATTGTAGAAAAAAATTGAAGCGAGGAGCACTGATTCAGTGCACCATCGCTGCACTGAAAAAGGAAAGAAAAAGGAAAGCTGGTGGTTCATCAATTCTGATATTGTTTCAAATATAAACGGAATTTATGGATACAACAGGGAAGGAAAGATTCACAGGGGAAAAATAGATCGTAACGATCCTGACCGCGCTCCCAAAACATCAGAAATGAAAATCAGACCGGTGGTATTTTCGAATTCTCAGAGGTTTCCGAATGAACATTTCGACTCTAAGTCTTGGCTCAGACACCTGATCGACCAGAAAGGCAAACGGCATTGGTGAGGAAACAGGCGGTTAAGACCACGACCAATGATGGAAACAGACATCACGCTGAATTTTTCTATTAAATCAAGCATCAAGGATAATTATTTTAACCAATAATGCATCACGTAGAAAGGAGTAAGTACGCTAAGCTAATACTGTAACAGTTCAACCTGTCGGATGTATTATTTAAAATTATATTGGATCCAACGTTTTTTTTATTCTAGAATAAATTGCCTTTCAATTGCCATATTCCTTTTTGTTAGACATGTTGAGACGACTTAGTTGTTGAAACTAGACGCTCCGAGAGTGTTTACTCGGGCTTCGTATCGCACTATCCCCCGTGGGAAAGGGGGAGAGGACAACTGACATTCAGACTACCTTCTAGATAAAAGAGCATTCACTACTTATGGAAATCTTATTAGTTAGACGTGTAAATCGAGCGTCACGCGCCAGTAAAATAGCAAAAACACATCAGGTTGTGATGTTCACTCCCCCGTCACGAGGATAATTTGGGTTCAATCACACGCCATGCTGCAAATTTTGGGGCCATCATGCGTCACGCAAAAACCCTTTGCCACCCTCTAGGAATAGAAACTCCGCGTTCCAACACTCTACCAATGAGCCACAGAGACTCAAATGTGAGCAAGGCCATCACGAGGTCCGTTAATTCCCAATTGTCCTAAGCTCGTGACAAGAAGACAGACATCCTTCTCCAAACGATCTTTATCGCGCTTAGTAATTTTCGACTTCACGTCTTAGAATCATTATTTGTTGGCATCTATAGGCTTACGTGTCAACCAATGGCACAAATACCCCTTTATAGTAAAAAGAGAGCTCTCTGGGTAAAGCACATAGCGCCAAGAAGTATAGGTGAAAAGGTTTAACTTGTCAGACTAGAAAATTAAATCATTGGCAAATGTTGAACGAAACTTTCCTCCCGAAGGAAGTGGAAAAAGCGCAAATGAAGCGAGCCCGATGAGCTGTCAATCGTATTTAATTCAAAAGTCAATTCCAGTGGTGAAAATGGAATAAGTCTCGAACTTAACATTCTGAACAATTTAAGTAAGATCCGTGAATGTCGTCTCGATAGCTCGAAAACTAGTCACTCCCTCCAGACTGTTATCTGTTCNGAAACGCTGGCTCGCCTACCTAGAGCTTACCATTTTCTCACGCCCTTGTTTATAGCAATTTGTCAGGTTTGCCTCGTGGCCTTTCTGTGGTTACATGGCGACTTGAATCTTGGATTCTCGAAACCGTTGATGTGTCACAGAATTAAAGAGCTGTTTGAATGGACTATTGGACCTTCCTACTCGGCCAAGACGATCCCAAATAAAAAAAAAACCTGTGTGGTAAAATTATTGTGGACAGTGGAAGACCGCTATGGTGCATGTGCTGGAGGAGGAATATTGTTCAGAAAAAAGTGCTTGACTTCGGTATCGTTGGCGTTCTTTTCTGGAAGTCTAACTTTACAACCCAATAATGTATTTTTCATTTGAAAACAAAATTTGTGCGGAGTTTAATAAAGTTTCGAAAAAGACAAAAGTCATTCAGGTTCCTTTTCTTGCTCTTTTATAATTATGTAATGAAATGTCAATCCAGAAGTTTTGTCCAGTGTACTAAGTAAACCTGTGTACCGGAGAACCGAGTAATTAAAGAAAGCAGAAAAAGACATTTGATAGCATAACAAAAACATGTACATGGATGCGCTCCTAAGACACTTTATCATATATCTTTCTATAAACGAGGGGTCTGAGGGCCGATTGAAACTTCATGATATGTTTAGTAAAAACGAGGAGGTGACAGAAGAAAATCGCCGTCGGAACTAATTACAAAAAGACCAAAGAGGCCACTAGCCATCAAGAATACATTTGGGTTTATTCAGCTCCACTTGATAGTCAGTCCATGTTTCTTTTAGGCATTTTCAGCAAATTATGCTAACGGTACTTATAATTATGGGTGTACACTTTTCCGATTTTGAGTATGTTTTTTAGCGCGTTGTGCTAAGATTTTTGGGAACAAACACATGAGCTACCCACAGTAAGGGAGAGGCACCAAAAAAGTCTAAATTCATGTATGACTAGCGCCCAAACGTGTCTGTATTCCCTGACCTCAGAAGCTGTTGACAGCTTATTTCTTAAATGACGTCAAGAAAAGATAACAATGTAACCCAATAACAGAACGAAAAGATAGGAGAATGTACATGCTATTCTTAAAGTAAGCCGGTATTAGAGCAAGCTAATATAATCTCCTTACTATAATCGACTTAGCTCACCTTAAACATTTCGTAGAATCACTTCAGTTTAACGCTATTCGATTCTGTTGTTTTGTTTCGTGTTTGTTTTGTTTTTGACAAAATTGCAACGATTTTTTACCACACACGCGGCATTTCCCGAGCGTCAGCAGTTTTTCTCGCCCACTCAGCTGTTAAAAAAAGGAATTATGAGCATGACGATAATGAATAAGCTTTTCCTATGTTAAGTAAGCAATCTTTCTTCCAGGCCACTTGAACAAGACTCACAGCTATACCCGCCGACGCGATGGAACTCAGTTCTTGGTCAGTTGTCGTTTCTAAACCTTTTCTGGTGGTCCTCATAGTCACGAGTGGTCTGCTGAATCTCCCTCGAGCCGCGGGCACGAATTGCAACACTAGATTGACAAGTAAGTAGTGGAGGTATTTTTGGTTTTGCTCGGAGAAGCATTTCATGTTTCAGAGTCGGAGGAGCGTTTCCAAACGTGGTGGGCTTATTTTTTTACCCAGCCATACACATACCCCTACTACGAAATTTTCCAAAATGCCCTTTGCGTTGTTTGTTGGCAAATCTCTTTGCAACCTTTACAGTTTCAAGTGCGTCCGTAATCGATTTGTGACCTAACTTTCTTTTTTTCCGGCTCCGAGTCAAAATCTTTCAGCTTAATATTCGATTGGGCTCCCGCAGACAAAATTTACTCGTCGAATTTCTTGTAGACACGCAGCCTAATTAACTGGAAAACTGCTGCAGCTAATAAGCTTCTCGCACGCAGGCCGGAGCTCTTCAAAAGAACTTTTACAACATATTATTTCGTCATATATTCCTGCTGATAAAAGGATTTGTGACTTGAAAAGATCACAAGAATGGTTATCTTGCAATTTTTATGCTGAGCCAGCGATATTTTCGGCACCATAACGTTGGGGGAGACAGAGCTCCCCCAGATCTTTGTTTGGGCCCCTTAACCCCCCCCCCCGCTCTACCACCTATGTCTTTTCAAGTTCACAATGACTGCATTCAAATTCTTTATGCGCCACAGGATGTTTGAATGGATTTATCTTTCTTCCTCCTCCAGTAATACCTGATGTAGAGATTTCCACAAGTCCACCAACGACGAAACTAGCGATAGGTACAGCGGTTAACCTGACTTGTTTAGCGCAGCCCAGGGGCATTGATGCTGTATATTACGATAGATGGACCGAGTATATTCAGTGGTACGACCCACAGGGCAAGCCAGTTGGACATAGATGTGTGCAGGGTAGACGAATGGTGTTAAAACATAGATGTACATTGATGTTGAAACATATGACGGCAGAGCAACTCGGTAGCTACACGTGTGAAGCAGGAAATGGTTATCGTGCACACTGCAGAAGAAAATCAGTTGAAATTCGTCCGAAAGGTAGGCAACAAAACAGGAAAGAGATATAATATAAATATTTGAGAAACACAGGCCGAGTGAAAAAATAAAACAGAGACAGACACAACTCTATTAGCATTTCATCGTGTCATGTTGTCGAAAAAAGATTTTCAGTTTGATCAGCTGTCCTTTTCTAGGGCTTTATTGATAAACTTTTGACCCCAAATATTTTAGTCGTTACATTCTCGAAATATTGCGAAATAATAAAGCTACACAAAACTTAAGAAAAATAACTCGTAGGATATTTTCGCTTTTTTTAATAAAATACCAAAGAGAATTGTGCGTCGTCTACTTGTCTTGTTGCTCTCTGTGTCTGTGTCTTGGTCTTCTGATCTGTCTATAAAAAATGATCATGACTTTTTCTTACGTATAACAAGCCGTTGACGACGTAACTGAATGAGAAACAGAGTGTCTAGACGCCTCTTTCACTTGAATTATCCCTTAATCACCCTTAAAGTTACGTTTCCTTCATGTGTTTTTGTTCTAACAGAATAAACTTTAGCTACTGTCTCACTTTCGTTCTTCAGAAACCCAAACCATTCAAATTATTGAGGATCCAAAGAACCAAAGTTCTCTTATCGGTTCCATTGTAACTTTCAACTGCACTGCTACTGGTAGTCCCAGGCCAACCATCTCTTGGGAAAAGAATGATGATCCATACGCTTTACAAACCAACCCAAGGGTAGAGGAGAAGGTTATTGTGTTAGACAACAAAGCCGTTCGTAGTCAGCTCTTGTTAACAGGAACTGAGGTGGAAGACAATGGTAAATACCACTGCGTGGCTAATAACAGCGCTGGAGAAAGAATATCAAGAGTGTCTTTCTTAGGTTAGTTTATTAGGTTGGAGGCATTAATCTTTTACTTTTGGAAATGAGAACTGTTTTTTTTTTCTTTTAAAGGTGCAGATAATTTATCTTAAAAGCTTTATATTTTGGTCTCGTCAAAAGAAATTTCATAAAGAAAGAGAATATGAGGATGTATTACTTATCATCTCCAGTCATATCATGATGTAGTTAAAAGATATTTTCTCCGTAAAAAGCTACTTTCAACGTGAAGTGATCAACAGAATATTAGTATGGTGAGATAGAAACAAAACACCATACATACTGGAAAGAAAAGGCATAAAAGTGAAGAGGAACGCAAGAGTCTTGAAAGGCAACTTATGGCCGTATCTCCATTATAATATGAGAAACAACTACTGATTTTTCGCTTAACAAGTACCTTTGGAAATCCGAATAGCGAGGACTCTTTTCCAGCATTTTCATCAGTTGTCTTAGGCTACTCTAGGCTTGTCTTTCTTCCTTCTGGTCTGGTTGCAAAGAAGTTTGCGAATCTGCAGCTATCGTAGCAATAATTATTGCCTCATTTTTCATTCCTCAGACCTCCAACCTATTCAAGATGTGGGGGATCCAAAGAACCAAAGCGCTGTTGTTGGTTTTGGTGAAATTTTTATCTGCATCGCCAGGAGTCATCCAGAGCCAAGCATTTCATGTGTAAAGAGCAATAATCGTCATTCGACGCAATCCACCCCAACGACCTACTTCCATCCATCAGACACCCCGACTGTACCTCAAATTGTTGAAGATCGGTGGAACCTTAGCATTGTCATCGGTTCGGATGTAACTTTGAATTGCATTACCACTGGTCATCTCCAGTCAACCAGCAGGTGGACCAAGAACAACAATTCGTATTTTTTCCAATCCTATTCAAGGGGAAAGATCACTCGAGTTCGACGTGACCAAACTACTCATTACCAACTATCTATAGAAAAAGTGCAGAAGGAAGATGGGGGCAAATATCAGTGCATTGCAAATAACATAGCTGGTGATGAGACTTCAGTCGAGGTCAACTTACATGTCAATCAATTAGGTAACAAAATCTTGCATTTAGCTTTAGCGCGGTAAAGAGATCTCAATCTGTCCTTCTTAGCTGTATGTATTTACATCTAATCTTTCGACAGAAACATTAAGTTTACCTGTAAGGATAAAGATAAAACATTCGAATAGAGTAACTACAGAGAAAGTGTCATTGACAGCAACGTCGATTTTATATTTCAGTCTTAGGCACTTCTAAAGTCTGGCTTAATGATGTCCGTTGTGTCTGACGACCACGGTTAATTCCTTGCATAAAAGTGTATGATAACTCTCTCTCTATTTGTTAAAACGTATTTAAATTGCTACCGTCCCCGTGCGTGAGATGGGCAGAACTTCGAGATTAGAAGTTGGCGATTTAGAGTGAGCTACGATGAAAAGTTCACCGTTTTAAAACGTTTTGCTTCTTTGAGTTATTCCCCTGCGTTCTCTTTAGTATGAAGGCTTTGGTTTGCTATGGTCCTGGTCCTAGAAAAAAAGCAACTCCTTACATTCAAATCGACTTTTTTATAGAATAAATAGCTCGTTCAACGGACTATTTTCCTTTTTCTAGAACTGAAATCTGAATCGCGCACGCTGGCAGGAAGGACTGGATTGACAATTTTTCAGCTGACTGTGATCGCTTTCGTGGTATCTACATTTGTTTTTGCAGTTGGCGCATTTTTGTGGGATCGACGTCCTGTAAAGGTATTTTCGAAAGCCGGCTCTGTTTCCCAGTATGTATGAGGAAGGTTCGTCATGAACGAAGTGTTTGAATACGAGCGGACGCAGATGGATGCTCGAGCCCCTGAAAATCTTTTGGCTCGCAACAGAAACAACAGTAATCATACATAATTAGATGACACGTTTTGCTTCCTTTAGTTATCATGTACCCTCGACTATTTTTAAATCGCCGATAGTCTCATTAACTTTTTCTTTATCTATTTTCAGATTAGCAAGTTAATACCCATGAGCAGCCTCCAAAAGTCAGAGAGTCCATCTCATGTCTAATTTCATCAGCAAGCGAGGCGAAACAAAAGAAATCCAGTTTGGCACGAATACTAATAATAATAATAATAATAATAATAATAATAAAATATTTTACCAGGGTAAACCCGTCAGCAGAAGCTGTTATCAATAGGTGTCCTGGGAAACAAAAAATAGCACAATAATAATAAAAGCCCTAAGAGCTATTGCAATATACTTAATAAGATAAAGACTATAGGAAAGTAAATGCATAGAAGAAGTATCAAAAGTAAAATTAAAAGCTAATTGCATAGAAAATCCTTAAGCTTCGTTTTAGACATTAACAGGGATTCAAGTTTGGTGGTAAATTATTGAAAGCTTGTGCCCCAGAATAAAACCACTCTTTCTTAGCAGACTCGGTATGAACAATTGGAATTAAAAGGTCAAGACCATTACGCCTGGTAAAATAGTTATGTGATAACTTGAAAAAATATTCTTTGAACATTTCAGGAACAGTGTTTTTGACACATTTAAAAACAAAAGTTGAAATATGCATCGTAGAACGTGTCTTGAGGGACATCCAACCTAATTGTCGCAACAACTGATCGTGACTAAGGTAGCTTTCTTTTAAAACTATTCTAGCAGCTCTTGTTTGTAACCTTTCTAAAGTTTTATATCTAGAAGGAGCTAAATTATTCCAAACAAAGTCGCAATAATCTAACTTGGGAAGAATCATAGTTGTAAAGACTCTTTCAGCTGCATGAACCGTGAGACTGTTTCTGACCCTACTTAACAAACCAAACTGTCTAGATACCTTATTAACCAGTCGAGTAACTTGTTCCTTGAAAGATAGTGACTCGTCTAGGTATACTCCTAAGTACTTATAGAAAGGCTGACAATTGAGGACTTGGTCTCCTAAATAAACACTGCAAAGATTGTTAGAGTCAATTTGATTGCGTTTCATAGCAGTTCCAAAGATTACATATTCAGTTTTCTCAGGATGAATAAACAAATAAAAAAAGTTGAGCTCGGCATTTAACACCTGCAACAGCTGGTTTGCATCTGAGGCTGCGTGATAGATGACGGTATCATCAGCATGCATTAATACATTAGCAGCCTGTAAAGAGTTTGGCATATCTGTTACATACAAAGAAAAAAGGAGGGCCCAGAATAGAACCTTGTGGAACTCCGGAGACCACTTGTTCAGGCCGGGACAGGACACCTCCTACGAAAACTGGTTGGGTACGATCTGTTAGGTAATCAGATATCCAACGATGCTCACTATCCCGAATTCCAAATAATTGCAGTTTATCAAGCAAGATTTTATGATCAATAGAGTCAAAAGCCTTACGAAAGTCCACGTAGGTGGCACCTCAGTGTTAGCTGACCAGCATCCATGTCCCTTCTTATGGAGTCAGTAAGGAAAATAATTGCACTCTGTGTCGAATACTTACGACGGAAACCACATTGGTATCTAGAAAAAAGGTTGTGTGACTCCAGATGATCCACCAATTGCTGCTGTGCAGCCCGTTCAAGAATCTTTGACACCACTGGCAAAATTGAAATCGGACG